AATGAAAAAGAAATTGGCAAGCGCTCGCAAGGGCATTTCTACAGAAAAGAATCCCTTCACAGGAAATATAGAAGCACACATAGAGAGAGATAGATCGATAAAAAAATTAGAATGATCTTCTGGGCAGCTGGCCGGATCATGAGTTTATCAATAATAGAAACCAAACCAGATAGGAATAAGAAAGGAATAAGTGGGATAAGAGTGGATTCACCACATTCCCAAAGTTTAACACCCAGTAAGTGTATGTATATATTATACCATACGTTAGCCTCAATCGTGGCCCTGCTCACTCCATTCCGACAGAATATTTATTTATTTATTACTGGGTGGCAGACTTCGGGGTCCTTCAGCCACAAGATCCCGCCGATCCCCTTCGCAAGCTCCACCCCTTCGCCAATTCCTCAAGTGTGAAAACACGACCGCGTGATATGCCGTCTGCGGGGTTTTCCGCTGATCGCACGTATGCAAAGGATACCTGTATTCCGCGAGAGTCCAAAAACTCATAAATCCGTTGCGGCTCCCGCGCCGTAGCGTGTGATTTTGAGCTGCCTTTATTCGCCGCTCCTTGAAACAGAGTGTTGTCCACCCAAACGTCCATGGTGGATGGCAAGATGGCGAAAAAGGCCGATAAGACTAAGCGGACCGCGCGTGCCTCGGCCTGCATGATAAGAAAAGGCTTCCTCTCCCATTTCCCTCCGGCAATTTTAACGTCGCCGGAGTCTGGAATGAAAACGGCTCCCCATCCACGGAGCGATGCGTCCGTGATGATGGCGGCCGATGCCTTCTCGTGGGCTTGATGATTCGCCTGCGATTATATTCTCGATGATGTGTTGCAATCTCTCGTCCAAACCAACCGCTGACGGCGGAAGGTTCGCCGGGGATGTCTCCAGCACAATCCCCCGGTGAAGTGCGGTTAATCGTCGTCGCACTGCCTTGATGAAAAAGTAGTAGTCACATAAACGCGTGCCTAAAATGGCAGCCAAATATAAAAAGCGTGACACCGTTGCCTCCATTTCTGCGATGGTTGAAGAATTAAGCGCCGGCATGGCGCGCACAGAGCAGACAAACTTGTCACTCAGGGATACCGCACGCTGAGTGTGATCAAAGTGCACCCCCAGAAAGGTGTAATGCGTGGCGCCCGATTCGCGGTCCTCCCCCATGGACGCGCGACAACTGTCCGCGTTACGAAGCACTTGGGCTTCCCACAATGTCACGTCGCTTTTCGACCCTGCAATGCGTATATTATCGATCCATACGTCGGCACGCACCAATGGAGGTGCAGCCCAGAGGCGGTGAGCCACCGTCGTCACCACCGCAATTGCCGAAGTAATAATAATCTGGAGAATTTCTGGGCTGGCTTTGTATCCCATAGGGAGCCGTGTGAGCTCCACCAGCGTGCCGTCCTCCACGCGGCATCGAAAGAGATGCCAAGTCTCCCGCGGCAAAGAGACTTGAAAAAAGGATGCCTTTAAATCCAGGCAGGAAACGGCCTCAGCCATCACAGGTGGCAAATAATGGGAAATGTGTAAAAGAGGAGCATGAGCCTCTTAAGGGTCGTCTCTGCTCTTGTCGCGTGGCCACGCGATCCATCGTCGTCGTAAAGCGGTGGTTTTCTCCTTCACAACCGAGAAGGGTATTATCCAGCCGCCTGTTATTGTGGACGAAGCGTCCTCGATAATTCCCGCTTCATTCAACAATCGCGCGTCAGCGGTTGGAATCCTCCGTGAGCCTTCGCGCGCTTTACCGGAGGAAGACGGAGGAAAAGAGGACCGCCCGACGAGTCTCCAAACTTGCATGAGTCTCTCCAAGATGGCCGGTTTCAACCGGCTCTTAATCCACTCTAGGTTCAATACGGGCACGTTGACCTGCTGTAACGGGATAGCGTGTTCATCTTGTGGAGTGGCCAGACGCGTCCTCGTCGCGCGTCTCGTTATTGTAGCAGCATGATCGTGATTAAAATCACGGAAAAAACGCTCCTCTGCTCTCAGCCAGGGTTCCTGCCCTTCCGCAGTTTCCCCCTTCACATCAATGCGACCAGCGACGACACCAGGGTCAGCACTGTGGTGTGCTTTCCCAAATATCAAACAGTATTCTGGGGAAGGTCAAACGGATTGACGTGCTTCGCCAACTGCGAGATCACGTGTGGATCCAAATTGTGCGTCTCTACGATTTGAGCAGCGTGTCTCAACGCACCGCGTTTTGTGGGATGCGCCGTGGCATCCCAAGGAACCAAGGCTCGTTCGATTTGGGCAGTCGTAAGATTCGTGAGCTTTTCGTTGTGTCTAAGGCGTCCTGCCCTCGTATCCTCACGAACCGCGAGGCGCGGTGGGGATCCGCCCTCGCCGTCTTCGGCGCCACGGGCCAGTCCAAAATTAAGGTCCCGTCCGTCCTCAGTTTGAAATTTTTGGGAGTCAGGGCCGCAATCTCGGACCAACGATTCGCCGTTATCCACGCAAGTCGTAAGACAACACGTTCCCTCCAATCGGTCCGGCTGCGGATAAGTTGATTCATCCCTTCCTTTGTCAAGGGGCGCGCCTGCCTCGTCTCTGATCGCGCCGCAATCTTTTGTAACCCCAGAATCATCATGTCCAGCGGGGTTCGATCCATTTCCAACATGGACCACCGGCATCCTGCCGTACTGCGGTCGGGTCGATGGCGCGACTTCGATTGCCATCAAAAAGACCTCACAACTCTCCTCGTTCATCGGCTGTTCGTGCGTGCGGCATAAGGTCGTGAATTGCCCAGCTAGAGACATTCTCTGCTCCCACATTGCCGGCGCCCAAATCTCTCGAGCGACCTCGTTCGCTCTCCTCATATAACTGGCCCAAAGCGGGGATGTCGGTGTTTCGTCGTACCACAGTTGAGCGTCGTTGGCGGATAAGCCCCATCGCCCTTCCCGACGATTGTGTCGGGCAATTTGAAAGATCGGGTGGAGCATCGGCGGTGCGGTGCGCTGCCTGTGAGGATTGGTGGGAGGTGGTGGATTGGATGGAGCTCCCGTCGTCAGTATTCATGAGCGGCGTGCGGCATCCCCTCTGCCGTTTTTTGATGGGCGCCTGTGTTGTAATTAATTCCCTCTGGGGCGCACATTGCAGGTAGATGCCTCGTGTCCATAGGTATGACATAGTTGGCATCGCAAAGTGCGTTGGGTTTCTCGCCGATCGACGAGAGGCTGGGCTGCCCCCGCATAAGCGTCCGTCTGGTGAACAGCGGTGTAAGGACGGGCGCGCAGTTTGGAAAGCCGGATGCCGGGATCGGATGCAATCGTGAGCTGCATCCGGAATGTATTCAGTAGGGAACTCCCCAAATTCATGATTCAAGCGGTGGGATCCTGCAGACCTTCCAGCGCGCCGGTCCACTCGACCAAATTGTCAAAGGCAAGTTTAACCTGCTCGTCCTCCTGTTGCCAGCATTGGTATGCGCACCGGAGGTCGATAATGACTCCGGAGGCGCCCTCATTCCATATGCACGTGGGTCCCAAGTGGTGACGTCGAGTGCGCAGAAACTGCGGTCCTCTTCCATGGGTAATTGGGCGTCCAGGGGAGAAGTGCGGGAAGGCGACGGCGTGGAAGGGTGGAAATGTGGTCTCCCAACATTGCCGTGAGGGCGTCTGTAAGCCGCCGAACTGCGTCGGGCAGCGCTGCTAGGCTCGCCTCCAGCCATCAAGATATCCGTTTGGTGCGGTATTGTGGTTACGCCATCGTTGGCAGCGTGTTGAGTAGCGGAGGCCTCGTCCCGCACCGCCGTCTCCGCATCCCGCGCGGGTTGTTGTGCATTATGGCGTGCCTCCCGTTCCTGGAATTGACCAGTGAGTCGTCCCATGTTGAATTCGCGCTCCCGTAATTGGGCGCGATCGGCCTCCAACTGCTGTCGTAGTTCTAGGACCTGGTTGCCGGCCCCGGCGATAGTGGATTCCCTTACCGATAGGTTAATTTGCGCCTCCTCAACCTGCGAGTTAAGCTGAGCATTTCGATTCTGCACGTCCGCGACGGCGTTTGCGTAATCAAAATTCAGGCGCTCCCTTTCAGCAGTGATGAGCCATTGTTGGTGCCCCAACTCCCGGGCTACCCCCATAGCGGGCAGGAGCACTTGTTTCTCAAAATTAGGGATCTGAGGCGCCCGTAGATTCGCAATATGTCCAATAAGAGTGGAATCCTGCCATGCTTTAGAGATGGGTCCATGGAACAGGCATAAGCCTGTGGATCATGGGGCCACGGTCAACGTCTCATCCGACAGCTGGTTACCATTAATGAACGTCATCTGCACCTGGGTCTCGCCACATTGGGACACCATGTCCCAGAGACGGGCGCCAATATCGCACCACTCGGAGGGTGTGCAGGGAACCAAAGTCATTTCCTTAAACTTACCTGGCCGTGTGTAAAAAATAAAATTAAAAATATTATCCGGCCTCTATCGGCTCCCTGCCCCTACAAAGTCGCGTTCTTCCCAAAAGATTCATACGGTAGAAAGTATCATAAAGAATGCATTCATTTATCAGGATAAACACATACATCAATTATGTTAGCCAGCTCTCCCGCGATCATTCTTTTCACAAGCTCCTAATAAAAAATAAAAATAATAATTTCGTCTGGCAGCTGTCGGCTCCTTGACTCCCTCAATCGCGGTCTCCCAAAAGACAGTGCGGTAGAAGAGGAAAAAGTTGTGAGGACATATCTTCGTTTGCGCGAGATATGAATTTATTTGGGCAGCCAGCCGTCCTCAGAGGCATTCGTTTCACAAAATCCCATAAAAATAAAAAAAAATCTGCGGCCCCTGTAGTGCGCAACAGCCTCCAGTGACGATGCGCCTCTGGTGGGAAAAATAAAATAAAATGAAAAGAGGGTGTGGTGACTGTGGCACTGCCGATCACAACGGTTCTCTGAAAGGAAGGGCACTCACTGTCTAGACCCCGTAGGCACACACACACACACATAAAAATCGTTAAAATACTCCCAATATATTTCACCAGAACGAAATGCACTTTGTTCCCCAATTATTTTTTAAATTTTCCTGTTTTTTTTATCCCCCTCTGGTAGACTATCATCAGAAAATTTGATTTCCTCTGGAAATTTACCTTTCAACATAACCCGGTATTGGTGCACCTTCCCGTCCCAGAACGCCACAATTTTTTTCTCAGCGTCAATTTTATTGTTGGGATTGACGCAATCACATCCCTGCCAGTCATTCATCGGCGTGCTGTCTGCGTGCTGCACATAAATCATCTCCCACGACAAACCTCGAGCAAATTCCTCCCATCCTTCAAAATATGCCGCCAGACGCTCAGTGAACTGCCGCACTGTGCTGGCGGTGGTGTGATGCGCACTCGCCGTCGTCATCCGCAGCCCAACCAGAGTCCTCCGCGGTGACTCCATGAAGAAAAAGCAGTCCACCAGCGGAAAGGTTGGGGACGTCGGTATGTACAGCAGCCGACGCTTTAATTTTTGCAGGCCATCAATTAAATTCAGTTCAGTTATTGCAGCTGCCTCGGTGGGGTAATCATGAGGGTTTAACGTTAGCACCGAGGACCGTGGTTTGGAAGGCGATGGTGGCGGCAGCTCCTTGAGATCCTTCACCATGGAAGTGACAAACCCCTCTTTCAAGAATACGCTCAAAGCATACTTTTTCAAATCTGCAGGTTGAATAGCATTCTTCATCCCCAATACGAGGAAAAGAATATCATGCGGACTCAGCACCTTTGCCAAACGAGATACTGTTAAAATCCCAAGATGCACACATATAGGTGCATTAGCGAAGTCCTCAATTGGGCCATGTTCTCTCACTCGAACAACCTTCAGAAGTTTTTGGGACGGACCCTCGGAATGCCATTCGTTCTCTCCTCCCTGTGTAAAGTACTTTCCTCGATCCCCCATATTGAACCATCTCAAGGTCCTCAGAACATCCTTCGTGCGTTTTCCATATTCATTCGCATCAAAGATGTGACGTATAATCGGCCCCACTTTTTCCATGCGTTCTTCGACCATCCTCCAGCATTCCGCTTGTTTCTTTTTGGTCTCGTCACGCTTCATCCACGCACACATCGCCTTCACATCCGTCTCGTCGGGGCAATTCATGATGATTCGACTGACTTTTAATTGCTCCTCCCATCCATCATAGTTGCTTACCTCTGGGGATGACACCAAAATCATGCCCCATCCGGTGGAGGGCGCAAAACCTGGGTCGGGCTGTGTTCCTTGCGTTTCCACATCGTAAATAATATACCCTTTCATCCCACGCTTCCACAAACCATACAAAAGATTCCTGGATGTTATCTCACCGTTGTACTTTTTCACGGTTTTGGCGGTCTTGTCAAACACGTACATCGTGGTTCCAAAACAGTGGACAACCGCTGGGAGTTTCTCGACGTCGTATTGCAGCAGCTGGTAGAGGAGGTACGAGCTGGCAGCCATCGACTTCCCAATCCCGGGCGTCCCAATCAACAGACGAAACAAAGGTGAAGGATTGAGAGTCAAGTCAGAGTTGCTGAGCCACTTGTTTAGATCGCCCTTGACGATCTGCCACACTCGATCCACCTCGCAGTTAACACACAAGTCATTACCACACCTATGCGGCCCATTCAGCGTGTACGGCCATCCCTTGTCCGAGGTGAGCACCATCAGCCTGGGAGGTGCTGCACCGGATTGCTGCACAGCGTCATCCTTTTCAAGGGTGTTGCCAACCGCCTTGTAATTCCATGACTGTTCGGGCTTCCCCACCTCAACCCTCATTCCCGTCCCCTCGCCGCCACGGACTTCCACGACATGATGCCACCTCGCATTGTACACAGACTCGTACAATCCCTCCAGGTACATCGGTGCAATCGTCGTCATTGGGTTCCACGCTTCCTCGGCGGCTGCATCCAAAAAACTTTTAGTAGCTCCATGAGCACTTGCCTTTACCTCCGGAGTAGCTAATGGCCACCCAAGTAGATTGTACATGCCCTTATTGTAAAGCTTGTGTACATCCTCTTCCATATCCATTTCATCCCTCACAGCCCTCTCCATCCTCTTGTAACAATCGGATGCCTGCATTTCGTTCAATACTTCCGCATCGCAAATATATTTCTTGGGATCCTTGAAAAACTCCTTCAGCAAGACATCCCGATTGGCGTCCAAAGCGCCCCTCCCGTCCAATTCCATCGTAAGAAAATCATTCAGCCTCATGTCGGTCCTGTTAGTGCTTCCCTCCCGCAGGACGTCCTTTACGGTGCTGCTCATGGTCCACTGCGGTTGCTGCCTTTCCTCCACTCTTATGTGGGTCGCAGCGGGTTGATCCGTCTCGTCATCGGACGACGGCCTTGCTCTCGTCTGGCGACCTACCCGCGGCGCGGCAGACGCTCGACTCCTGGCATTGCCACCTTGCACTCTATTGCGCTTTGGAGGCATTGTTTCTCCTTGTTTTATTTGTTGGATTGAGTTAAAGCTGAACACTAACGACCAATCAAAAGGGGAATAAGGAAAGAAAGAAAAGGAGAATACGCACAAAAATGACTGGAGGAAGCAGAAAAAGACGTATCCACACGGTGTGGACTACATATTGAGCTCAGTGGCGCAACACAAAAAAACAATTACATTTCAGCATAAAATAAAGCCAACGCAACCAACACACGAGAAACAAAAAAATGCAGTAGCCACCAAACACCTCAGTAGATTTTTTTTTCTTTTTTTCTTCTCTTACCAGTCGTAGTAACTGCACCTCAATTGTGCAGCTCTGGCAAGCGTACGAAGGAATTCAGTAGCAAGGATAACCTTACTCCGCGGGCAGCCACTATAGAATGGCTCCAACATCTGCCCTTCCGGCCCGTAAAACTAAGTAACAACTACTCATCGGGTTTGAAGCATGAACAGCAGGCGCTTGACTTCCTCTCTAGTAAAGAGTACTAGTCCCTGGCACCACGTTGAGGTGGCCGGCTGAGCCAGGGACCTCAGTAGATCGTACATGCCCTTATTGTAAAGCTTGTCTGCATCCTCTTCCATGTCCATTTCATCCCTCACAGCCCTCTCCATCCTCTTGTAACGATCCGATGCCTGCATTTCGTTCAATACTCCCGCATCACAAATATATTTCTTGGGATCCTTGAAAACCCCTCCTGCAAGACATCCCGATTGGCGTCCAAAGCGCCCCTGCCGTCCAATTCCATCGTAAGAAAATCATTCAGCCTCATTTTATTCACGCGAACCCTTCCCTTCAGCACCGCATCATCAGTCCTAGTGTGAATGGTAAATAACAGTTCTTTTCGTTCTCGCCTTGCCTTTTCTTCTGCCTCCCGCCTCTCTTCTCTCAGTATCTGAGAGTAGGCTTTGTTTATTTTTGCCCTTGCAATAGGAATGACCGTATCCTTTCTTTTAAATTCCCTCCATCGGTTGAGAGTGACAATATGTTCTTGTGAAAGCTTATATAAAGGTTTCAACAGCACGTAATACTCCTCACGCTCCTTTTTCAGCTCTTGGTATGGCGGCGATGTCTTTATTGTGTCCAATAACACTTCGTCTTTGATGAAGTCATTGGGGCTAATTAAAAACCCCGCATATAGACCTACAAATAGAATTTTCCAACGCCCCTGCCATCAAAATAATTCCGAAGGAAGTCATTCAGCCTCACCTTTCGGATGCGTTCCTTTCCCTCCAGCAGCACTTTATGCCGCCAACTGTCGAGAGTCCAATTTGGTCGCTGCGTTTCCTCCACTCCTCTGAAAGTTGCAGCGTCGGAACCATCACCGGAGCCGCTGCAACGCGCCATCACAGCACCCGTGCGGTGAAGCATCCCACTCGTACCACCCAACTGCGGCCAGCAGGTGCCGCTGGCTCCAATGGGCAGTCGCGGCTGTTTCCTCCCGCAGTCCCAATGGCGTTGGGCGTGGCGCTCGCATGGCGGGGCGGTCGGTGCGTCATGCAGCCGCACTGCAACGCCTGTCGGCAAAACAGTCAAGGCCCACCGCCCCCGCAGCAACAAAACGTGCAATTGGCAACAACACCGCAACATTATCGTCTTTTTTATGATTCACGTCGTCTGTCGGTTTGCCTCATCCCTGACACTAAAAATAAGTGCACACCTTCACAAAAAAATAAAAAGGAGGCACGATCCCACCGTCACGCCGCGGGCCAACACTCTCCTCCACCCACCGCCATTGCCGCGCAGGAGACCGCAGTCACATCGCAGAGTCAGCACCACAATGTGCACCACACCATCGTGCAGTGAGCGATGGGCGGAACGCAGCCATGCATCGCCCGCTCCATTTTCCCACCCCTCAGGTGTTGCGTGCCCGCACAAGGCAGCAAACACAATCAGAGTGCACACAAACCCAATCAACCCCCTCACTCGCTGAAGCACATTATTCGCATGGAGTGGCAACAATTGGGGACACACCAGCAGTAGCTGGCTGCATGGAATTTCCCTGCCAGCCCTGCGAAGAGACACAACAGCTCTGCGGAGTAAAAGTGGCAGCCCATCGGTGTTGCCCGCAGTCCACATGGCAGGACAAGTTCCACGCACGCATAGTTCCAAATCCCTCGCTGCCTGAGTGCACATCAACTGAACAAGCAAAAAAAATACGTGCGTGCAAGATGGCATCTAAATACGTGAATTCGTCAGCCTGCTTCGTTTGATGGTGTTGGCGAGCAGTCCCACACAATCCAATCAAAGTGGCACGCCGGACAGGAAGGCGTCAGCCAATAATAAATAAAAATAATTGCGCCAATGCAAAAGCAGCACAAATTGGATTTGCACCCCACTCCGGGGGCGACAGTGGCATGAGAGTGTGTATGTGCGCAAGGACTTTCGTGGGACGGTGGCCTCCAATCCCGTCGTGCCCCGACACAAAAGGGCGACAAAAAAAAATAAGAGCACACTCTCCAGAAAAGGAGTGACGGTTGATCAGTCAGCCCCCGCTTCGTCTCACACGACATCCACATATGTGCACTCCACCCCAAATACGTACCTCCCTGAACGCCGCATGCATGACGTGTGGTTTCGTCGCTCGCAATGTGTTTTTCCTCCCGCAAACAACAAAAAAGGATGGCCATGGCGCAGCTCCACTCAGGGGAGGCAATCGCGGCAGACACGGGCGGGAACCAAAGATCATACAAAAAAGGGCACAATAACTCCTCCAAGCCACGAAATCGTGCAATGTTCATCCCTCTCCTTCCACATTGAAGCCACCACGACAGAACAAATGCAACAGACACATGTGCAGCACAATATCTTTCGCTGCCCGCGTTCCATCTTACCTCCCATGCGTGCCACGGCGGTGGTGCCGGCGTTACATCTGAGATGACTCCAAAATATCAGGCGCCATGCTGTGGAGAGTGGATGCTTGCCGAACGTGACCGCGTTGGTGCCTAACAGGAAATGACGTCAAAAAGAAAAAAGATATCCGCGGCTCAAGCTACCCGTGTGTGGCCGTACTAAAGCAAACACTGAGACACGTGTGGAGCAACGCAAAAGGAGACAGGAGGAACCACCAGAGTAATCCAAAAAAAAACATATCGATACATAATAATCTTCCGGGCAGCTGGCCGGATCCTGAAATTATTTATGGAAACCAAACAAGTTAGGAAAAAAGGTTCGTTAGTTAATTGCTTCAATGTTTTATTCTCATTCAATATATAGAATTCTGTGGACCACCAGCATGGTCCTTTGTCCTCAGTTGGGATTTGAATATTATTACTTACGAAGTGGCAGACTTTGGGGTCCTCCAACCACAAGACCGCGCCGCGTGGTGGGAATCAAGAGGGGTGGGTGGGGTGGCAAAATAAAATTAAAAATTTATCCGGCCTCTATCGGCTCCCTGCCCCTACAAAGTCGCGTTCTTCCCAAAAGATTCATGCGGTAGAAAGTATCATAAAGAATGCATTCATTTATCAGGATAAACACATACATCAATTATGTTAGCCGGCTCTCCCGCGATCATTCTTTTCACAAGCTCCTAAAAAAACACATCAGCCTGCTTACTTTTCCGCTCATTTTCTTTTTTCCGCATTTCATACAACATCATAACCAACGAGAAAAACAGGCACGCCCCCCCACAGTCATCGGGGAGCAGGAGAGAGTCACTGCAGGCACCCGCACAGAAATAGAAACAACGCACAGAAAAACAGCGAAAACGCCGTTGCGGAGTCCGATGGGTGGCTGTGGTGCGCAGCAGCAGTGGCCCCACGCCCTCCCTCATCGACCAGCAACGCACACGTCCAAATTTCATTTATTGAAAGCCACAGAAGGGCGTTATCGTTTTTTGTCCCTAAGTTTTCCTCAAATAAATTCAATGCTCCGCACAACAGCCACCATCGCAGAACACGTCCTCGTTAATGAGTAAAAATCTAAATAATAACCCCGAAATCCGGAGAGGGCGCTGCAGCGGCGAGCGTGCAGCACACACCCGTGACACAGCCGCCCTGGGCTAGCGCGATACCTCGATAATCCGTTCTTGACAAAATCGATAAAAATAAAATAACGAAAGCAACGACTCAATCAACCAAGCATCCGATAAATAATAATAATAAAGAAGTAAACACATTGCCAAAAGCACCTACGTTATACCGCATCCATGAGGAGCCTCGTACACTCTCGCCACGTGGAGGTACTGTTTGGGCAGACACTTTCCAACTCGAGGTAAAACTTCGCCCACATTATTGAGCAGCACAAATTCATTACTTCTCCGGCGTAGCACAACCAATTTTGCCTCTCGCACTGGATGCACACTCGAGCAGGCCCAGGGCGTCTGAGCGGGTGTCACCAGCCATGGGCTGCTACGGCGGTGCGGGTGGTCGGTACGACGACGCAGCGGTGGCGCCTGAGACGTACGAAAATGTAGTTACTTCGTGGGGCTTCTGCGTCTCCTCGTCGCTCTCCTCGCCATCGCGCAGCAGCGCCTCCAGTCCGCCACGCCGCGGCTCGCGCAGCTCCTGCCAGTGGCGGTCCTCCGCGTACCACACAACCATGCTGTACACAGTGACCGCAAGCACCACGGTGGTCAGCAGCAGCACGATCGCCGCGTACGCCCTCGCACCGCCGTCGCTCGGCGCAAGGTGGTTGGCCGCACTGACCACGCACAGCGCCGTAAGCAGCACAAAGCTCGCAGTGTGCATCACCGTCAGAAAGGACGAGCGCATCATGTTCGTGAAGGCAACCACGCCCGCACCCGCAAGCAGCACAGCCGCCATGCAGAAGTACTGGACGTGGCAGCCTCCCACGGGCGACTGCACAGCCGCAATCAGGCACACCACACACAGCACCGACAGCTGGAACACGCACCAGTACACGTGGCTGCCCCTCATGTTCGTCAGCATGCCGCCGTACATCCGCTGCTGCGCCGCGGGGTGCCAATACCCGACGGGGTACAGCAGGCGCTCGTGCAGCGGCTTCCTAGAAAACTGCCAGTACCTCGTGA